GTCTTGAGGTGGAAGCTAATAAATGCAACAGAACTATATTTGCACTGTCTCGTGGAGTTCTTTGGGCTGAACCTGACATATATACAGTAGTGGTATTTTTCACATAGTAATACAGTCCTCCACAGATAAAACTGTTACTCTTTAAGAAACCTGTGTGCATGCTGTACATGTTCAGAAGCTTTCCCCATTAATGATTTTAGCTGCTGGAAAGTACTCCTATGTTTCTAGTGTGTATATCTAAACACAGTCATTTAAAAACTGGGCATCCATTTTGGATGTGCTTCAATTCAAGGGCCTTAAGCCAGGACAGCCTGCATTTCCTAATTATGTATTTGAAGTTGCTTTTATTATTTGCATTGATGGGTTAAATTTTACTATGTACATAAGGCCATTAGTTGAAGTTATCTTATAAGCCTTGGTTATTTAAAATCTTTTAAATGGCAGCTTTTGACACCTTTGTCCATGTTGAATAAACAGTGTCTTCAAAGCAGCAGTTTCAGTACTTGTTAGCGATATTTCTTGACGTGCAGGTACTAAAATCTGGAACATGCCTTGGAGACAGATTGAATATAATTAAACACACCCTAGCAATTATGTAGTGTTGTGACCTTCCTTGTAATTTAAATGTGCAAGCTTTGATTTCTCAGCCCTTCAGCTTTTTGTTTTAGGGTAGGGGTAATGGATATGAGAAAGTTTAGCCTAAACTCCTTTAGGCTTATTTCCTAAGATAAAATAGTCTGATGAAATAGGTGTGGATTTACTATATGGACTCCTCAGTGCAGAGCTGTTGTGCTGTGACTATTCACCAATAATGAAATGCAGGATGATGGGTAGAGAGCAGAGAATTGCTGTCTTTTTTGATAATTTTTGTTACATGTGTTTTATTTAAACTTGTGCTTCAGGTTTGGCAAAAGCTAAATCTGAAAAAGATAAGGGACAGGATTCAGTAAATGTTCAAATCTGAGCCCTTCCAAAGCTCTCTTAATGTTTCAGAATTTTACAAGGACATTATGTAATCTTTATTAAAATAATTAAGAGTGTAGAGGTGGCTCCAGCTAAGAAACCTGCCAAATTTTACAGCAGTAGTACCAGCCATACTTGAATAAGGTGAGTCTTATATTTTAGAGAAGCTGCATTGGTTTAAACCATGCATTTTCTCTTTGGATTAACTGAGACTCTCACTGTTTAAGAAAAACACTTTTGTAATTTGAAATTAGAGAGCCAGTTTGGTATAGTGGTTAAGGCACTGGGTAGAAATCAGGAGACTGTGAGTTCTATTCCTGCTTTACATGCAAAACCACCTGGGTAACTTGGAGCCAGTCACTCTCTCTCAGCCCTAGGAAGAAGACAGTGGTAAACCACTTCTGAAAATGTTGCCAAGAAAATTGCAGGAACTTGTCCAGGCAGTCGCCTGGAGTCAACCCTGACATGATCGATTGATCTATCTATCTATCTATCTATCTATCTATCTATCTATCTATCTATCTATCTGAAATTAAAGCTCAGATGCCAATTGTGTAATTGTTCTTTAAAGAAAGATGTATTTAACAATTTTATTGCCTGTTTTATTTTGTATAGTATGTTTTAATATATGCTTTTATCATTTATTTATTGATTTATATTGATTTATATTTCAAATTTGTCACTGCCCATCTCACTGCAGAGCAATCAATTGCTTGAATTTTACTGTGAACTACTTCTAGAAAGTGGCTTACAAAAATTTTAAATAAATTCAAAATAAATCCCAGAATTGACTGTCAATATGGATGGCACTATTATTAGACTAATTGTTCTGAACCTGAGGATCACTAGTGTATGTGCAGGTGGTCTTTGGGCAGAGGGGAAATAATTTAATATCTCTTCTTATCAGATAAGTAATATATTTCTCCATTGTTAGGCCTACTATAGGTAAATGTACTCTGATGGCTGCAGTATATTTCTGACTAAGCAGAATGTATTATCAGAAATAGAAATAATAGTATTAATAGAAATAGAAATTTTTAAAATATCTTTTGATATATAAACTCGACCTCCTCAGCCATAGATTATATTAAAAATACTTAAAATGGCTTGCTTTATTTGGTGATCTGCAAACGTTTTTAATTACAATGTAGATTGAGTGATACCTACTAGATTAGATCAATTTGTAGAGGACACTAATGGCTATTAGACATAATGGCTATGGATTATCATGCAAAACCTTTCTGTAGTAGTTGCTGAGGAACCTTAGGCAGGAAGTGCCCATTGTACTTGTGGCATGCTTGTGAGCTTCCCAGTGGCATCTGATGGAGGGAATGCTGGACCAGATTTTGGCCTTTGATACGATCCAGCAGGGCTCTTATATTCTTAAGAAGCCCCAACTTTCCCTGATTCAGCCTTAGTTCCTGGTATGCTACTCTCAAAATTAAAAAATACACAGTTCATTGATATTTCTTATTTTTAATAGTAACTGTGACGGGAATCAGTTTGTGCTGTATCAGACTTAAAAATGAAGTGTTTGCAGGGGGTAAATAATAGAGGTGTGCACAACATTTGAGGATCTATATGTTCTTATCCCCAAGCATTCTGTTTCACAGTCAGAATGGTTCCTTTCAAGGATGAAACACTTCTGGTAAGTTTGGAACAGTATTATCATATGACTGGTAAAGTTTGAATGGGATGTTTTGCAGCTAGAATATTTTGACTTTGAAAGAGCTTATATATCTCTAGTACATAGCTGCTTTTCTCAGTTAGTGGAGCAATAGAATAGGTATTCCTGAATAGTTTTTCTTATTTCAAGTTGGAAATTAATTTCTCTGTTACAATTACATGAACGCAGACCTGAAATGTAATATATACCAAAGCTCTGAAGTGCTGTAGATTGTATACATTTCAGTTGTGTGTGGATAATTTAATATCGCTGATTTTAAGGTAGTAAATAGTCTCACACTTTAAAAAGCTTTTTTTTTTTGTGCTTCTAGGGGTCCAGAAGATACTTGCTTTGAGTATGGTGTTTTCCCTGCTATTCTGAGTTTTCCTCTTGATTATCCCTTAAGTCCTCCAAAGATGAGATTCACATGTGAAATGTTTCATCCCAACAGTAAGTTTTGCCAGTAGATAATGCATTATGTTTTCATATCAGTAAACACCCCTGTTAAATCTAGATATCTAGTAGTATTCATTTAGCCTTTCCCCCTAAATTATGGCAATTTAAACCCTAATTGCAACACCAACTTGGATGCAGACTTTAAATCACTTACTTTAGAATTAACTGTTTTGCTTACATTTAATTTATAAGTAACTTTGAACTGTGGGAACATGCATTTCTCTTATGAATTAAATAGGTTTTTAATCTTAGTGATTGTATCTACCCAACAGTTGATAATACTTTTCTGTTTGACAAACAGTATACAGAGATGTGGAATGAAGTCCATGTAACACCTGGCGGTACTTCAGGATACTTTTTCCAAGTCCAGCTCCAATTCCACAAGTGAGCTAGGCTGAAGAAAAAAGTTTAAAAGTAGTGGATAAATTACATATGGCATCCCATAATATCTGTTTTGGCCTTTCATGGGTTACGAAACTACCCACTCAGATCTGTATCTTTTTGCTTAATATATTTCCATGCTGCTTTATTCACAATTTCAAGTTGGTTTACAAAATTTAAAATTATAAATTTAAAACACAAAGCAAGTATTTATTTAAGAGCAATGTAAAGCAAATTTTATTCTTATCTCGTATAATATTCAACACAAATAACATAATATTACTTCTTTAAGGAGTCAAAGGGAATGTGGTGAGTTGGGTCCTGGGATAGTAAAAGATTCACTGAGAGAGGTGGTCCACAAAGGAGATAATGGTGAGGCCCCACCTCAAGAAGCCATTCCTGCACATGACAATTATCACTCTTCCCTTTATTTGGAAGATACCATCAGTATGCTGATACCATCAGTATGCTGACAATATTCAGCTATACATCTCCACTCCAGGCTGAGTCTTGAACCAAGGTTTGGAGGCTGTTTGAATCTGGATGAGACCAACAGGCTGAGGTTTAACCCAAGCAAAATGGAGGTACTGTTTGTGCAGAGCAATGCAGGCTCCAGTGTTGACTCTTAAAAGGGTGGCACTCTGCTGAAAGAGCAGGATCATGACTTGCAGGTCCTCCTGGATTAATGATCATTGTTACATAGGCAGGTTGAAGCTGAGGCCAGGAGGCCTTTGCCGAAGCATCAGTGACAGACCAACCCAGAGCAGGATAATCTTTCCATTGTAAATTCTGTACATCACTTGCTTGGTTTACTGCAATCCACTATACATGGGCTGTTTCTGAAAACTGCTTGGTAACTGCAACTAGTTCAAAATGGAATAGCTCTGTCAAAGTCACTGTAATTGTATTACACCTGTTTTGTGGTCATTAAACTGGTTACCAATAAGATTCTGGGTAAAATTCAAAGTGCTGGATTTAAGCTATAAAGCTCTATGTGGTTTGTCACCAAAAGTCATACAAGATTGCTTTCTCTGCATAGAAGCATCTACCCTACTTGTCCAGCGCACACGCACTGCCAGCATCTTTTAATAGCCTCCTAGATAGGCAAGCCAAAGGGGACACGGACTTGTAGGCAGTGTTTTTTAATTGCAGCCCCATGTTATGAAATAGTCGCTCTGGAAATTAGGCTGGCACTCACATTGATTGCTTTCTGGAAGATATTAAAGACAAGTTATTCCAGAAGGCCTTGGGGATAGAATGGCTACCACTGCACATATAGTATAACATATTTCTGTTTTTATTTTTTATTTTTACTATGTTTTCTGCTTTTATGATGTAAACCCATAAGTTGTTTTCTGAGTCTGGCAGCATACCAATACAATAAATGAAATAGTAACATCAACTATTAATAATAACATCAATTTATTTATTTATTTATTTATTTATTTATTTATTTCTCTCTCTCTCTCCCCCCCCCCCTTAGAAAGTATACTGACACTTTATAACGTGACATCTTTGCCTGCTGTGTTTACGTTACCTCCACAGGAGTAACAGTGATCTATCAAAATTTTGTCTTCCTTTTTCTGAAGTTTGGCTATGGTATTCAGTTGTGAGCCACCTGGAGTTGTGCTATAAGATGGTGGCCATACAGATCTTTTAAATAAATAAATAAATAAATAAATAAAAAGGCAGCGCCCAGTTTTCACCCTAGGGCTATGAAAAGGGAGTAAACAGCCACTTAAGTATAACAATTAACAGTTTGCAGTTATACAATTGTATAAAATGGAAATGTAATTATTTTATTATTTCATATTTAAAACCTGGAATATGTGTCTTTTCCCAGACTTTGGGAATATCTTTAGTAATTTTTATTTACTGTTTGGTCTACTCCCATTTTATTCAGCGCCATAAGCAAACAAACAGTACCAAAGACAAATACAGGAGTGATGATTAGAATTATTAGAAAGTTGTATTGAACCACATATCCATGTAGTCCCTAGGACTTGAACTTGACTCAAGGGGGTCTTTATTGTTTATATTGAAAGTATAATAAATAAAAAAGATAAACATCTTGCATGTCATTTATAAGTACTGTAGGCACCAAACACTTTCTATTGGACTTTCCATTAAGATTTCCTTTTATAATTCCTTCTTAATTTTAGCAAACAACATGTTTCAAAGTATATCTCAATTTAGAGAGTATGATCTTGTGAATGTTACTAACAAAGACAATAAAGTATATAAACATTAGAAGAATATTAGCTTTTCAGAATTGTTCTATCTCATTTATAATTTCATAGATGTAATTTATTTTAAGTAAAGTCGTTCTCAGAGTGAACTCAACTTCTAATGATTTCAGTCAGTTTTCTTGGGAACAGTATAGAAATGTCATAGCCTTCTTCCAGCATGTTTTTGACATCCCATTCTAGCCTACAGCCATAGTATTCCTTGGTAGTTTCTGATTCAGATATGCACCAGGCCTGACCCTGTATGCTTTCAAGCCCAGACTAGATCAGCAAATTGCTGCTACTTACTGAAGCTAACTTATTTTAAACACAGCCATAATTTCGCAAAGCCAATTCTGTGCTTATTAACTCATAAAGGCAGGGTTTCCCTCTTTTCTTGTTGATTTCTTGCTATTTTATGATGAAATTGGTATTTGTCCTAGTACACGCTCCCTGTCTTGTATTCATCTTTACTTCTTCTGTCAACTTTATTAATCCCATAAACAGCTACTTAACTATAAACTAATGCCATTCTCTGACAAAAATGAAAATATATAAGAAAGCTGCAGTGATTTTTAAGTTTTGGTATTAACTCCAGCCTGTAGAGAACAAGATTAGAACTGAAAGAGTATATAATTGCTGTCAGATTTTTCAGCAATTGTGTGTTTGGTCAGATGATTTCCATCACTTACGGTAAAACTCTCTTTTGTTGTTAATATAGTCTCAAAATGTTCTGCTTCTATTGACAATTTTTCTTAAACCGCTGTTGTACTAACTTGAAAAATACCTCTCCATTTATTGTCTAATCTTCTCAGTTTATCCAGATGGGAGAGTTTGCATTTCAATTCTTCATGCTCCTGGAGATGATCCCATGGGCTATGAGAGCAGTGCGGAACGATGGAGTCCTGTGCAAAGTGTAGAGAAGATCCTCTTGTCAGTGGTTAGCATGCTAGCAGGTATGAGAAAGGATAGCATTCATAGAGACAATAGTGAAGATAATTTAAAAACCACAAATCACTAGACTTTTCTAGCACATTTTATGTCCATGTTTATCCTAGATTAACAGTTATACAGTTGGTCTCAGTAGTGACCCATGTAATGCTAGGAACTATGAAGAATTAATTTGAAGACTCTTTGCTAAGCTGCTAGAAAGCCAGGCTTGAAGGACCATTCTTGAAAGTTGTATAATTAAGGAACGTTTTATTTTAGATGTTTGGTTCTGGCTTATATTGCGCATGGAGTGACATGAAATTAATAAAAACATTTTTATTTTATTTTCTTATTTTCATAGTGCTTTTCATTAAAAATATAAATATAGAATTAAATATTAAAAACAATACAATTGATTAAAGTAATTTAAATAAATAAGACAGATTATAAAATCAAAGAAATATCTAGGCAAATAAGTTTTTAGTAAAGACATTCCATAAAGAGGCTTACCTAATTACTTACTTCACACAATATATGTGACAATGGAGAATACTCATCTTAGAGCCATAGTTGAGAGAACATGGGCCAGCTGTGGTACAGTCAGTAGGACATTCTTTCTGAGCAAAAAGCTTGAATAGTCCTGTATGAAAATATGTATGGTTCCTGAGCTGTTTGGAGCCTTATAAATTAACAAACTCTTATTGAAAATTGCTTGGTGGCCTGTTATAGTACTTTAATATTGAAGTTACAATTGCATATTATATTACTGTGGCAAAGATATCACTGTCTAGGAGAGCTTACAATGGTCATATTAGCTAAGGCTGATAATAAGTACACTTGGCTACTGGGTCTTCTTTCCAGCAATATGGCTGATTCTGTGAAGCCCCATATAGAAGAGTTGAAATTCCTAACTCCCAGGAACCACAATATCAAAGGCTCTTGGTTTTATCAGGATTAAACTCCAGCCTCTTTGTCCTTAGCTGGACACCACCTCAGGAGGATCCTGTGTTCTTTTTCAACTCTTTTCCTGGTACTATGGAACTTTTTTCATTCCTTACACATACAATTCTCCGTGGATGCTAATGTTTCAGTTCCTTAATATTCTGCTTGTTCATGATGGGAATAGGGTCAATATTTAAAATCCAATATTTTTCATATTCTTGTGCACAATCAGAACTTACAGCAAGTTGTTTAAATATTTAGACCAGTTGTTTAAGTGGTCTGAAGGAAATATCAAGGTATTTTGGGCAAACCGCAGTCTGAAGTTTCCTTTTTCTTCTTACATGTGTGGATGTAGGAATATGGACATAAAAAGATGAGTCAGATATTGAGACCACTTGTGCTTGTAATGCCAAGCCGTAGTATGGCATGGCATCTGAATCCAACTTTAAAAGAGCTTTATTATCAGAAAGAAGGTTCTGATAATTTGTATTTGTTGTAAGTGATTGTAGTTATTGGACTCTTCATTGTTTTGGAACAATGCATGAAATGAAATTAATTTTGGAATTCTTGACCTTAATGTATGTTTTACTTATACTGGTTGTGGTTCTTTTAATGAGAAACACTGTAAGTAAGCAGATGTCATAACTGTCTTTTTCCCCATTTTAGAACCAAATGATGAAAGTGGAGCCAATGTGGATGCTTCTAAAATGTGGCGAGAAGACAGAGAGCAGTTCAACAAAATAGCCAAGCAAATTGTCCAGAAATCACTTGGTCTTTAAAAAAAAAAGAAAAGAAAAGAAACTTTTGACAATCTTACTGAACATTTTACAGACAGAGAGTGATAATAGTACTCTGAGTTGTTACCAAAAGGCAAATCTTGCAAAATTGTTCATGAGTTTTTTGTTCCTCCCTATATATAAGCATGCACCAACCCTTTTATGCTTTGGAAGAAAAATCCAAAGACATACCAGTAGATGGGATCCATGTACTGTAGTGCTGTAATCAGCTTCTGTTAGTAAAAACTTGTTGTTATATCTCTCCAGTTATATTTATAATTATTATCGTATTACCTTTCATTGCAGTACCATTCACCTGTGCAAGTAGTGGGAGTGAGACTATCTGTGAATATCTTACTGCTTAGAAAAGTATTAAAATATTGTTGGTGGAAGCTGTTTGCCACCAACGAGATTTATCCTTTTAAGAATATCTTATTTACATAATCTCATTTAATTAAAAAAAATGTTGACCTTCAAAATGCTACACAATAAAGTGAACTATCTTTGTCCTGGGGAAGAAGTGGTCAGTGTAATCTCATTTCCTGGTATAGCATTCTGCTTGCCTAAATGAATAATATTTTATATAATTGGGCTTGAAGATATTCAAAAGCAATATAATTCTTCCTGAGGCATAAATTGAACTTGGTGTAACTGTTAGAGGCTCAGTGTTACTTGGACAATCTGTTATTCTTAAAAATATTTGTTTTCTCTGATAGGTAGCCCCTATCCATGATAGATACAAGAAATAATAAGGTGACTGTATTGCAGAAGAGCAATCTTTTCCCAATTAACTTATAATTCAGAATAGTGAACTTTTGTGTCTAGTATAAATAATTACTTTTAAATCTAGTATTGTCTACTCAATAGTTCTAATGGAAATAGGATGACCAGCATTCAGTATGAATTTTGCTGAAGGAATTGTTGACTTCTAACATCAGTTATTGTAATTTCCTAAGGGTATGATTAAAGGGAATACACACACATACACATACCATTCCTCTGTTTATTGATTTACTTGGGCAAAATTACAGCAGTAAGGGACATGTTTTTGAAGGATATTTCATGCATATTAGAAATCCATGACATTAAGAGGATCCAATTGCTCTACATTTGTTAGTTCTTTAGGATGTCAATAGAGTTCAAATATATTATGTAAGAAATATCTTTAACAACTGAATTAGTCTTAAACTATACTTAGATGTTTCAGTTCAATCAAATCAGTGTTTCACATTTAAATCAGTGCTTTATAGATTTGCAGTCTATGAAGGACTGGCTCAATAAAATACATTTTTTGAATTCACTTCATGTAATTCTTACACTGAACTTCACTTGGTATCATCCAAAATGGAATTGCATCCATTGAACTTTAGGGTTTAGTGGTATACTTTGGCCAGGTCACATATTATTGTAATAGTATGTTTCCAATGGAAATCAGTACCATACTCTGACTGTACCACTGGAGAAGCTGAGCCCAGGCCTTTCCCTAGTTATATGAAGCTTGATCTAAAAGCAATTCCTTCCCAGTGGATGAAAATCTAAAGTATATTGAGATATGTTGATTATGATGATTGGAGAGATAAATGTTAAACAGAGGTATAAATTGGGATAGTGTAAAATGAGATAAGTGTTTTTCCAAAATACCATGCCAGATGTTACTTCTCTGCACATAGGACTTGTTTATTCATTTTAGAATGATACAGTTTGAAGAATGCAGCATGCTTGTATTCTTAAAGGAGAGTGTTATAAACTTCTTTTACTTATTTATGATTCAGAGTTCTGAGGAAAGCCATCTATTCATGTACAATATTTATGCATATTTTTTAAAATCATAATTTACATATAAAATGAAAATAAGGGCATATTTTTTCTTAAAAATGCAATATCAATTATATTAATAGTTTGGAAAATATTGGACTTCATCATGGAACAAATGTGGAAGAGGGTACATTTTGCTAAAGTTAAAATGCCATCATGGTAAAATGCAGATTGTTGTTGAGATCAAAAGTATATGAACCAATTTGGTGTGGGATATTGTAGAGATAATGTCAGTAACACTTCTAATTCAATTGGCATTTGATGGGAGATTGTTTACATTTGAAGAGGGTTATTTTTAAATTGCCTATTAGGACTGGAAAGCATTCAGAAGATGTGCTTTGCAAAGTGTGTTAGCACAAATGAGTAATGTGAAGTATTAAAACAGGTGTATCCTTTGCCAGGTTTGTCTGGCTGGTTCAAAAGCTGTACCTGATTGTGTGTGCATTGCATGTGCAGACTCCACTTGTGGGGCCAGGTTGTGATTGCACATGCATGCAGAGCCAGGGAAGAACCTTGCAAAAGATGGAGTTGCTTTAATACTTCAAAGAAAGGTACTTTGCCCTTGCCAACACTCTGCGCTAAACATTTCTTTCAAGTGCTTTCCACCACCTTGTTTGAACTATGAGTGCATAAAATACATTTACAATGTTTGTCTGCTTTGAAATAATCCATTTTTGAGCTTTGCAATGTGGGTCTTGTTCTATAGCATGATATGCTGCTGCTTCAATGGGAGAGTGAACTGCTGTAACTTTTCCTCTGTTTTCATGAATTTGCTGCTACTCACTTAAGAACAGCTTCTATATAAAAATGGGTGCATTTAGAAATGATTTATTTACTAGTTAGATAATAGATCCTTGACATTTATTGTGGCACATAAATGTTTGCATACCTTCATTTACAGTATAAAATGTAACATGAAATACACTGGGAATGTACAACATACACAAAGAATAGATGTGGCCTCCCAAAACTTTTGGTGGAGCCTCCAGAACCCCCTATAATTTGCAGCTGAAATGAATCTCTGGTATGATAGAAAGGAGAAATTGTGTTAAAATAAATTAAACCAAATTCATTCTTCATTGTGGCCTCATCTATTTTTTGGAAAGGGGCAACTCAATGCCACTCAAAAGCAAGATGCAGCCAGCAGCCTCCAAAAGATTATGCACTCTATTCTGTTTGCACATACATATGGGCAAAAGTTTGTAGCAATAACTTACACATGTGATCTGCATTAGAGAGCACATTGCAGATAAATTATTCAATGACTCTTACTTGATACAAAGGCAGAATATATTGACAGGTAGTCGCCAGTTTAAGAACGAGTTCCATTCCCAAAGTCTGTCCTTAAGTTGAATTTGTATGTAAGCCGGAACAGTATTATTGTATAATACTGTATAAGTAGTGTTGTGTAATTAACTCAAACCATTGGGTATTAACTCGAATTTTGCTACAGTAGGCTCCATTTTTAACTCTGGGTTGTCCTTAAACCGGGCGTTCTTAACCAGGGGACTACCTGTATTTACAAAATCTGCATGGTGTTTCAGTCATTAACTCTTAAGTGCCTTACAGCTAGTATAATAAACAACCATTTCACAAAAACTCATAAAAACTTGCTGGATAATACACAACTTGGACACAACAATAACACTCATTCCTCAAAATCTATGCAGAAGAGCAGCATTTTATCTGGCCTTGTAAATATTAATGGGGAGGGAGCCATTCTAGTTTCAGGGGCCATAGTAATTCAGAGAATGGGAGCTGTCATAGAAAAAAATAAAATTACTCAGCCCCCGCCCCAAAAGGAGGGGAGTTATACCATATTTGAAATGCTACTATTTATTTCATTGATAAAAAGTGCAGGCTGCTATTGGAAATAGGTGACCCGGTTGATTATTTGAAAGGAGGAAAACCCATTATCTAATATTATTTTGCTGCCTCTGCAAGTACTAAATTTAGTAATTACTTAACCAGTTTCTAAATAAATCTAGGGAATGACATGTTGCATCTAGCTGTTCTTTTCTGCCAGTTTAAGGCTTTGGTCAAGAATGTGTGATGGTAAGTTCTGCATTGCAAAAAAAAAAAAAAAATCACTGCTTATTTCCTGATTTTTTAAAAAGAACATTAAACTTGTTTCTTGACAAAAATAGATGTTACTGTAATAGGCATGCAAGTAGCTTTTTAATCTACATTTCTCACCTTTCTGTTCAGATGGTTTGCCTAAGTTTTATAGTTTTAATAGTTGGATGCAAAGAAATGCTTCTGCCTGGCAGAGGAGGCAGTGTCAGGACACAAGCACAGGCAAAAAAAATTAGGCTACATCCATCACGTCCGTTCCCCCCCTCCTTTGAAAGGAGCAACTGCTGCACTAAAGGTGTTGGAACCACATAAAACAGTTGAGGCTTCAGGGCAAGGCTACTCCCTCGATTCAGGCTGCCTTGTATTTGGCCTAGTTCTCACGTCACAATTATCAGTGTGATGAGAAATATGTGCATTCTGCAATCCTGCTGGCATGTTAGCTTTGAAGTTACTACATGCACTGTAATTGACACCTGTCTGTAAATTTTTTATTTGCCCTTTTGTTTGCATGTTCCCTCCAAGTGTATAGGAGTAGGAACAAAATCAAGAGTTACAGGCTTCATGAAAGGCACACAGTAGACTGTGCTCTGTAGCTAATCTTATACACTGAATTGAAAATAGCTAATGGTGGCTAATAGGTTTATCACCTGGCCTTAATTATAGGGTTTTTTTTTTTTTGATTCCAACTCACATCAACACCTGAAGCATTTGCAACTAAACTTCAGTGACTTGGGGCAAATGATTTGCATAGTATTGGTTACAGAGCCTTGTTTATCAAATAAATAGCCTGACAAATTGTCTTAAAGTTTAAAAATCCATCCTTGAATTTCAAAGTATTCCATACTGGTACCAGAAAAATCTGCCTGTTTTAAATTGTTAAGTGAACATTTTCTGTAATTTAATAAAAGGGATTTCATAAGAACAGTCTTTTAAAATGATGATCCTTATCACAGAGGGACAAGCTTTTTAATTTACTGGTGAACAGAATTAAAAACCCACAGAATAATCAAAGCACATATAATGGACTCCTGCACAAATTCTCCTGAAGAGCATGTTTTAAAGATGAGCATCTTTCACTAATTACTGCTTAACATTCCTGGTTTAATGAGTGAGAGTGAATCTGACTTACAGCTACAAGCAAATCTTCCAGATCTTACCTTTTCTTGCTGTTGGAGTCCAGGGCATTGTGCTAAAGCAAGCTTGTCTCAACTTTGACTTGGATAGCAAGCCCTGAAGAACAGTGCTAGGTATCAAAAGTGATAACTAAAGGAGATTTGTACAAGCAGGCGCTATGGATCCCATTTAAAATAGCCAGTCCTTGTACTGATTGACTTACTTTCTTTTTCAAGTTTCTAAATCTATGTGTACATATCTCAGAAATGGCCCCATAATAGATGTGGCAATTTTCTGGGTAGGAAAGGTTTTGTTTAATTGTTCATAGAAGCATATAAACATTAAGGCACTATAACAAGGAACAGTAGCAGAGGCTGCCCCAACTTGATATCCTTTACGTTCCCCAACCATCTTGGCTGGTAGAAGATGTCAGGAAGAGAATGAGATTTACATAACCCTAATTTATTGAAAAAATGGCTAAGTTTACACAGACCCACTAAACAAATACTGTTCACACAACATGTTAAGCCAAATTCAACTCTGTAATGTCAACCAGGCCAAAATATAATAAAGTAAATGACACAGGAACGTCTATAGATTGTACAGGACAAATTCAGAAATGAAATTTGGCAACCCAGTCTTACTGGACTAGAAATACATAAAGAAAATATCTTGAAAAAGTTCATAGCTCTAAATAGTAGAACTGATGCCATAGAGGCTCCAGTCTTATCTAGCAGTATTTTTACTATTTTTGATATATATGAAAAAACACTATTTGATATTACATCAATATTTTCTGTCTAGTGGGAAAAATAGTAGTCTCAAATAGCTGGTGCCTTTAGATACCAGAGCATCAAGAATATAATTGGCATTTCATTGAAACTGGGATTAATCTATAATAATGATTTATTTCAATTCTTGAGAGTGGTCTTGGCTAGTATCCCATACTGCATAAGGAAGGAAATGTGTATGCCTAGTCCAAAGCCTGTAAGTGGAATTTCACAAATTGATGTTTTAGCTACTTCAGACACATGGTGGTGCTTACAGCTTGAATAAATGAAACATTGTTCCTTAAAGGAAAAAAAAAGAAAAGAAAAAAAACCAGCTACTCCAGTTAACCTGGAAGATGCCATACTCTCTAGGAACTGAGCTAGGCCCAATTCTTTTAGGATTATTTTTTGGTTGCTGGATGCCCTTGATTATTTACCACCCAAAACCATTTACCAGATGTGCAAGTACATGAAACTGGCTATATGAATTGGAACATTTCACAAACGAATTAAGATATGAAAAATCTACAGCAGCTGCACCTCTACAATTCCAGAGGCAGCATGGAAAAGGGGGTTAAAAGCTTCAGACTTGTATTCAAATGACTTTATATGCAGAAGAGTTACTTTTCAGCTTTCTACACTGTATCTGAATTGGAAGGCAATCTAACTCAGCTACTGAGCCTTAATGTCATGAGATGTGTGGCTATATAAATTTGATAAATTTGAATTTGATGAATTGCAGTAGTCCAAACATGAGATGACCAAAACATGAACGACTAAGGGCTGGGACAACATAGACAAGAGCCTATGCAAACTTACGTCTAACTGACACAAACAGGCTTCAGCAATCTCTTTTTTCTCCTGTTTATTTTTAGAGGCCACCTGTCTCCATTGTGATGCTGAGAGAAGAGTTTAAAACAGTACAGTCCAAACAATACAAAGAGAAATGTCCAGAAAAAATAGCAACAAAACTTCACACATCAAACATTCCACTGGGGTCCACCATCTACTGTAGCCCAAGGCCTTGGGGAAGAGCCAGTTTTCAAGGGTTTGTTTACATAATGTCAGGGTTGGGCTGTAAACATCTCTGGGGGGATGTCATTCCAGAGGGCAGGTGCTATGAGAAAAAAGGCCTGCTTCCTGAGTCCCACTGATGGGATTCCAAGCATGCCAACTCTGCTGGATTGTACTCTGCTGGGTCTATGCCATGAAGGGGTTTAAAAGTGGTAACCAGAACCTTGAATTGCACCAAGAAAATTTTTGGCAACCAGTGCAACTCACAAAGCAGTAGTATGTGGGCATATTGTGGCATGCTCACAACTGCTCATGCTGCTGTGGTTTGGACCAGCTTCAGTTTCCAAGTGGTCTTCAGGGATACCCCATATAGCCCACATTGCAGTAGTCCAAACATGAGATGACCAAAACATGAATAAGGGCCTTCCAGTTCAGATATGGGCACAATTGGGCACAAATGCCACCTGCTTCTTGAGCAGAAGCTGTAAATCCAAGAAGAACCTCAAGTTGCACACCAGTCCCAAGGCAGGGAGTGCAACCCTGGTCAGGACTAAAGATGGAACATCTCTAGATCCAGGTGCCATTCAGTTTTGTCAGGATTGAGTTTGATAATCATATCTTCTAACCCTTTATCCCAATCACATAACAATCTGTTGAACAATGCAGAGGCTAGAACT